TATATATATATTTACATATAATATGCGTTACTTATATTAAATCTAAGCTCTTAAGCATAAACGCGAATCGTCGAGAAAGAAGAGACCCTTCATACCTTTTGTCCCAGCGTATCGACTATCCTTCGAAGATCCTTCCTCGAGTTCCATTTTCTACTTTGTACTATAGCACACATACGATTGGCATACCTTCTGTCAAACGCGCATCTTCCCTTTTCCGCAAACCTCCTTCTGTCCTCTTTTCACTGAACCGTCCTTGTCCGATGATAATGTTTCCCCATCCCTTTCTTCGCGCGATTTTTCCGCGGAAACGACGAGCAATATTACTTTTAACAAGCTGCGGGGAATTTAGGGAAAGAACGTACGTACAAACACGTGCGTCTAACCGCGCGTGAGTGTCACACACGGGTCCTTTGCGTATGCATTGTATGCGCGTTGGGCGTCGAACGTTACGAAGTAACGGCGGGTGAACGGAATCGCAAGCCGTGCAAATGCAAGGGCTCGCACCTCTCAGGGAACGAGCAGTGTGATTAGACGAGAGAGTAGCTCCTTTCCGACAGAGAGAGAGAGAGAGAGAGAGAGAGAGAGAGAGAGAGAGAGAGAGAAGGAGAAAGAGAGTTCGTCTTAGATTTTAAGTATCCTAAGCTGTCATTGGCGATCATCCGGCTATCTTTCGCCGTTAGCGTTTCACGAAACTTGTATCCGTCGAATTGTGATTCGAATCGATAAAACGGAAATTTAAATCTTTAAGGTTTAGCCTGAAATTAGGAAAATACTCAATTTTCGAACGTTCGTAGTTCCAGGACATCCCGCTGATTGAATCGAGACGAACGGAAGACGAATTGACAAGAGAATTTTTTTGTTTCTAATTCGATTCGCCGTCCAGTTATTGTATGCTGAAGGAAGGATTCGATATGCATTTGATTGCTCCGCGGGAAAACAAGATAATGCAGCAATATTCTTTTCTAGAAATTCATTTTTCTCACATACTATTACAATTACAATTATGATTGTAATTTTAAATACGATTAGTATGCTGTCGTCATAAGTCACTATAAATCTGATTTTTCGTAAAACGGTAAATAATAATTTAATTGACTTCATCAACATTTCACTAACTGGTCACTTTTTCGGTAGAGCAGCTACGTTGTTTTTCCACGATATTGTTAATTCTGAGCGAAATTACTGAAAGTGGAGAATCATTCGCGCGTGTCTTAAATCGTACACGTTTCCGTTAATCAAATCCTTCCTTCTCTTCTTCGAAAGAAATCGAGTAAAATAATTCAATATTAATAATCATTTATTACTCTGGTGAAAAAATTTTGCTGAATTCTGTTTTGGAAGATACATTTCAGTGAAATTGCTGAAAATTCACTGAAAGTAAATTTTTCAGTTATTGAAAATATGTTAACCCGTTGTGTTATAATAATGTTAATTTGCTGAAACTACACTAAAATTTGTGCTAAGATTTTTCTGAGATTTTGCTAAAATTTTGTTAAAAATGAATTTTTCAGCTAAAAATTGCTGAAATTAAACTGAAATTTCGCTGAAAAAATTTCAAAATGTGAAATAATTTCAGCGAAATTTTTCTATCAGGATATAATTAAATCACAAATCAATATCGAGCAAATATAAGTTGTTCAATATATCTCGATCGAAGAGGTTACTTATGTATCTTCCGTTTGTCCGGAGACGTAAAAGTTCGTAAAGCATATTTCTAAAAAAGTTGAGTCCATTATACAATTACGTAAGCGTAGTCGTAGGAATTGACCAATCGCAGTCGAATTTGAGAATATGCGACTGTGATTCATCAATTTTTACAACTGGAACCATTTGCAATTATGCTTACGCAATTGTAGAATGAGTTTAATGTTGGATACCTTCGGCGCCAGCAGCGTCTCGCGATCGCACGCAAGTAGTAGTTGGATAACAATTGATAAAAAGATTCATCAATTTGATCACGCGATTTCTGAGTCTACAAAAATTATCTGCAATCAAGTATCACTTCTTAAGCCTATTCTATAATTACTATTAATTAATTTGTGAGTATAGTTATATGTGATCATAGTTGTAAGAATTCATACAATC